TTGGTGTTGCCGGGGTACGGCTCCGCGAAGCCGTACATGTGCAGGAGCTGCCAGTTGGCCATCTGCCCGTAGGTGTTGAAGATCTCTTGTCCCTTCCCGACGGGCCGCGTCGTAACCATTCGCAGACATTGCTGTGAGCAGGGGGAGAAGAGGCTCTCGCAGCTGCTGCCGCTCGGAAACACTGCGTTTGGGAGTGGCTCAGAGGGCCCTAAGCTGCCCCCAGCTACGGCCAGGCCCTGCAGCAGGGGAGCGCTTTGGGCCGAAACAGCCTCACACTAACGCGGTCCAGGCCAGACTCGCTGCCCTGGGCTCAGAGAGCCCTGCTGCTCCGCCGCTCCCACCCCGCTCGCGGTGAACGGGAACCAGACTCCACTGGCAGAGCGGCTCTGCACTCACGGGAGAGTATTCCAGGTTGGCGTTGTGGTTGGCCACGTGATTCAGAATATCTGCTACGGGCACCATCATCGGAGGATTGGGGCCCTTCTCATCTTCCTCTTCTTCCTCCAACGGCTCCTGAAAGCTAAGACAAGGGAGATGAAGACAAGCCTGTTTTACACCCTGCGGCACCTTCTACTTAAAAATGCCGCCCTTCCCTTCTTCCTGGCACCCTTCCCAGCGCCCTCTACTCCCTGTGGGAGCTAAGCCCTCCCTTCTCACCTGTAGGCCATGACAAATGCCACCAGCTGCTTGTACAACTCCAGCGTGTGCAATTTGGGGTCAAAGATGTTGGGGTGGGACTCCATGAAGGGCAGGATGATGGAGCTGTACTCCAGGTGGATGTTAGCCAGGTCCTTCTCCACGGCTTCCGGGATGCCGGTGCCCTGCAGGAGCCTCGTTCGTTCTTCTTCAGGCCTGGCACAGGACAAACAGCAGGTTCACCTCCATCCGCCCCGGGGGAGGAGTCTATAAACCCCCTTCTCCCTGAAAATCTCAGCTTCACGGTGCTCTCCAGGTTCCCAATTTCTGGTTATGCCCATAGCTAGCTCCAGCCCTGGGCAGGGGTGTCCTTCAGGTCCCTGCCAGCCCCGGGCCGGAAGTGAGGGACGGAGTCATGCAGTCAGACCA